ACAATTCTACCTCAGCCTCTTGAGTGCTACAATTACTGATGTTTGTCATGTGTGTCATTGCACTGGGAAAATATTTGAGTTTATATGCCTCAATTTGTTATGTATAAATGGACTCAAAGGAAAGGAAAACAAGGGAAGGAAGAAAAGAGGGAAGAAGGAAAACAAAAAACAAAAAATTCAGGATGTTGCTTAGAGTCATGCAGGTAAAAGATCAAAGCTAAGCAGTTTCAACTCCAGATTTAACATGCACATTGAAAAAGAATGCTAATATGGTTGTGAGAGACTTCTAGGAGTTCCAAAGCTATTTTTTTTTAAAGCACTGCATATGTGGATATGGCTATATCCTAAGACTTGGACTTCTGCTTCTAACTTGAGAGCTTGAAGTGGGGCACCGGTCCTCAGTCTCAGTCAGGAAAGTGTATGTCAGAGGAAACCCATGCAAGAGTAAGAATTCTCTTCATAGCATATACCTACTGGGAAGGGACTTTTTAAGGCAAATCTTATTGTAAATGTCCCAAAGTTCTCTGCCTCTTCCTCCCCTTTATCTTTTACAGTGCTGGGGCTTCTTATATAGTAGACAGGGATTCTACAACTGGGGATATATCCCATACCCTCCAAAAATTTCTTAACCTTGCATATAGTACTTCGATCATTTCTTTAAATTTGCTGTTATACAGTTCCAGCATTGTAATATAACTGAATAATATGTACAATCTTAAATAGTGCAGGAATAATATTGTGCCTGCCCTGAACTTGGCTAAAATGTTGAAAAAAGCATTATAGAAAAATGTAATTCAACAATTGTTTTCAGCTCCAGGCAGTTTTTGTCTGTCAACCAGTAAATTCTCTTATCCTATCTTATTTGTTACTTTAGCTTGATCTGTTGCTTAAAACTTTGTGCTCATAGTCTTAGTAAATCTTCACAAAAACATGTGCCTCTTCTAGCAATAACTGCTGTATGATCTTTATTCTTCAACTTCTTTTGTGTGTGGTATTACTGGGGTTTGAACTCAAGGCTTCATGCTTATTAGGTTGGTGTTCTACCACTAGAACCACCACCGCCTTGCTTTTTTTTTCCTGGTTATTTTGAAAATAGTCTAGTGGACTTTTCTATTCAGGCTGAACAGATCTACCATTGTCTAGATCTCAGCCTCCTAGGTAGGATTACAGGTGTGAGTCATTGATGCCTAGCACAAGCCAGCTATGTTTAAGTAAAATATGGAATCAATGACTAGATCTTCCTGTTTCTTTGGTATGAATGTCTGTGTGAATATAGGAGGCACATGGACCTACCAAGAATGTTGGGACATGTACCCTCACTTAGTTGATCCAATCACTTTAGACCATATTATTACTGAATTTAAAAACCATACCTCCTTTTTGTGTGTGTGCCATTCCTGGGATTGAACTCAGGGCCTAGGTGCTGTCCTAGATAGCTTTTGTGCTCAAGGTTAGTGCTCTACCATTTGAACCAAAGTTCCATTTCTAGCTCGGTTGGTTAATTGGAGATAAGTTTCACACTATCTCCAAAGCCCATGCTGGCTTTGAACCACAATCCCCTGATCTTAGCCTCCAGGGTAGCTAGGATTACAGGTATGAGCCACTTGACACCCAGTTGCAATTAAGTGGTCACGACCAGTTTGATTGTGTTCTTTGTTAATTGAGGGTGGGCAATCCTTTTAACTTCAGTAATCTCCAGTATTTGACAGCAATCTAAAAGTAGTGTGAAGACATCTGCCTTACTCCATTGGCTGAGCCTGACCTTCACCCATCAAAACAATAGGACTGGTAACAGCCAAAATCTTGTCCTAGTGTCTTTTCTCCCCCCACAGTGCACTCAACCAGTTCTAACTGGTTTAAAGCCAGCTAGCCAGCAAAGTTCATGAGACTGTCCAATTAACTACCCAAAAAGCTAGAAGTGTACTAGCCTTGAAGCAAAAATCATCTCAGACCCTGATTTTAAGTCCTAGGACTAGCACAAAAAGCAGTGATACTGTGCTGATAGTTGGTTATCTCATAAGAAAGGGGATGAGGTAGTGAGGTGCTCATACATTAAAGGGCTTTGCATTGTTAATGTGTAATTCCTGGGTTGTGACATGACTTGAAGTAATAGCCTAGTTGCCTATGAGGTCTTAAGCCCTGATTAAAGCCCACTTGGGGGTGGGGTGGCACTTTAAACCTTACATACTTCCAAAACACAACTTCAGAGCAAGAGCACTGGAAAATATAAGGTGATAAATCTCCTGATTTTTATTTCTTGAAGTCAGTAACTCCTCATACTGCCAGTAACTTCTCTTCTGGCATGACAGGTCCAATATACATAATGCAGGCATATTATACTGTCAGTGGGAGGTGAAAGGCTACGTCAAACGCATGCTCGAGCACCTCCTTGCTGTACATACACTGTTTGAAACCTGCTTTGTGCTCAGGGTTGCTTAGCTGTGCTGTTGCTACTGTTGGCTTGTTTCCTTTCAGGATCCAGGGGGGTGCTTTCATATAAAATCTTGTTCTTAATTCCTTCTCGAGCAATTCTCTCCTGGATCCTTTGCTTTGCATAATTATACCTACAGTGGAACCTTGAAAGAAAAGAAAGGATAGGTCACACATTGGAATCATGTGAGAAAAAGGATGTTTCTGATATGTAAGGTGGCTAAAGGAATTATGGAGATTCAACAGTTATACTCTATAATCACAGGATTTTAAAGTGCTTACAGATGCTGATCCCAACAGTAGTGTGGCGAATGTTCTAATGTGTTATATTTGGGGCAAAATATCGGCGAACACTTTTTCTTAATTACATAGTTAAGAAAAAGGTTTTGCTGTTGTAGAAAGAGCCAGAAAGTATGAATGTTTCAGTTTGGCGTATTTTGCTCAAAAATACAGATTTGAGAGTTGTCCATGAGCTGAAGGCATGTTCACCTGGTATACAGCACTTGTGCAGCAAGGCCTTGGAACACCAACTTCACGGTACTGACTCATCAGCATTGAGTGGACATGAAATTCTAACTTCAGTGTGTTGAATAGGCATGAAACATTGAGTCTGGAAACCATACACCTTAATAGCAGAAAAGTGAGTTGAAGTTGAGGAAATACTTGTAAGGCTTTTAGTTATATGTATGAAAACAGAGTATCTGCATTAAGGAAGATGCTAACCAACTTATTACAGGATTCATAAACTTAAGGTGGTGCTGGTGGCTTATGCCTGTCATCCTAGGTACTCAGGAACCAAGATCTAAGGATCATGGTTAGAAAACAGCCTATGCAGAAACGACTCTTATCTTGAAATAGCCAGCTAAAAGTTGTAAGTGGAGTTGTGGCTCAGGTGCTAATACTTTGTGCAAAAAGGCTAAAAAGAGCTTAAGACCCTGAGTTTGAGCTCCAGTTCTGGCAAAATAAATAAGTTCCTAAATTTGGTGGCTAGGGTATGACTCCCTGATAGCAATACTTGCCTAACATGCACCAAACTCTAGCTCTCTAGCACTGTAGCAGTCAAAACAACAAAAAACTGGTAAAGTTCTAATTTAATGAATTCTATCACTGTTATTGGTCACAGCTGGGAAATACTTATTTTTTGATAGCCAGACACACAGAAGGGATAGCAAATTATGGCTGTCTCCTATTTTCATTAAAATAAAGTGATGATAATTACTGTCAAAACATTGTTGAGCTCCTAAATTGGTAAACTTTTCTTCCCTTCATTTCTCCAAATTGTTTTGATAAGATGAATCTCATGGACTTTTCTGACTGGACTGACTTCAAACCATGATCCTCAGATCTCAGCTCCTCAGTAGCTAGGATTACAGGTATGAGCCACTTACACCCAGCTGTGTGTGTGTGTGTGTGTGTGTGTGTGTGATCTCAGCTCCTCAGTAGCTAGGATTACATGTATGAGCCACCTACACCCAGCTGTGTGTGTGTGTGTGTGTGTGTCCATGCTGGCCCTGGAGCTTGAACTCAGGGCCTGATAACTGCCCTTGAGTTTTTTTGCTCAAGGCTAGCATGCAGCCATTTAAGCCAGAGCTCCACTTCTGTTTTTTTTTTTTGGTGCCTAACTGGAGATAAAGAATCTCATTGTTGCTGAGCATTGGTGGCTCACACCTGTAATCCTAGCTACTCAGGAGTCTAAAACCTGAGAATCACAATTCAAGCCTTATCTCCAATAAACCACCAGAAAACTAGAAGTGGTGCTGTGGCTGAAAGTGGTAGAGCTAAAGACCTTAGGACAGTGAGCAGGTCCTGAGTTCAAGTCCCATAACCAACCAAAACAAAGAAAGAGTGTCAAAGACTTCCCTGCCTGGGTTGGCTTTGAACAGTGATCCTCAGATCTCAGCCTCCTGAATAGCTAGGATTACAGATGTGAGTCACTGATTGTCCAGCTTAAGTCGGTGTCCTTTTAATAGCCCGAAATATTATTCAGACTTCCCACCTACTACAGGTCTTAGAAGGATGGTGGGATATAGTTGAATGGTGGAAAGTTTGCACAAATCCCTGTGCTAAATCCTCAACACTATCAAAAACAAAAACAAAACAAAATAAACCAAACAAGAAAATAAAACTCCTTCTTCAAAAGCCTATTTATATACTAGTTGGCAATCTCCAATCAAGAATTAAATTATCCTGTTAACTTAGGGGTTTTGAATGTCATTTTTGGTTCCTGAGGCCTTAATTTTCAGTATGTAAACCAGGAAATCTAAACATTTAATCTCACAGGGGTTTTCATTGAGACAAGGTTGAAAGATACACATTATACAAATACTATAACACCTCTGTACATTGCCAAGTCTCAAGAAACACTGAAAAATATAAACAAACTTAACTGAGGTTAACCTGAGTGATATCTATTTCTTTAAATCAATAGAAAAGTACTTAAAAGAAACAAGCTACTGGGCAATTTTCTCCCAGGAACAGCCAACTCTTTGGCCTCCTGAGGACACAATTCTGTAGTGCCACTGATCTCTGTTCTGCTTCAGGAATAAAAAGCATGCACAATTCATCAAGAATATAGGCAAGACTTTATGTTATATTTATTTTCCAGCTTATACAAACTGGATGTAGAAGCATAAACATAGTACATTTCTACCATCTTCAACAAAAATATAACCAATATGTACAATTATTGTATTAAAAATACAAAAGGGATACAGACTCCACCAATGTCTTTCTAAAAGACATACAGGTACAAGTAGTATCAAAAGTATGAGGAAATCACCAGTTAATTGTACATTCTGCACTTGACATCACAGCGAACTGAGATCAGCAGTCCTATGTTCTACAATTACTTAATGTTTAGATAACATTTGTGCGACTTGTGGTAGAGCTAGATTTCTCTTTCTATATGCACATGAGGTCCATAGCCTATATAATAAAACTGGCAAATAATGCATATTACATGTAAAATTACAAATGCATAATTGACAATGTAATAATATATAAGCAGGTAGATAAGACAAATGCCATGATACAGAAGAGAATTATTAAATAAAGCACTGACGTTTGATACAGTGAAAAAACACTGCAATTTGACTTTTAAAATTTGAAGCTATTTACGTTTATCTACTGATCAATATGATCAGCTGAATTTAATGGAAAAAAATCCAAGACCAGCAGTTCCTCACATTTGAGTACTACTCAGATTGGCAGCCTTCACTTTTCCGGAGTCTGTGCAAAAAACAACACAAAAATAGAGTGGAAAGGGATCATTTTCAGTCATTATAGGGTTAATAGCAGCTGTGAGCAGATGGTTGCTACACTTAGGCCTTCTCTATGCAACATCCTTAAAGCCACTTACAGGTTATTCACTATGACTAACCCTTGTTGTAAAGGCTGGCATGTCTAACCAGGTTTTTGATTGTTGATCATTTTTAAAGATTTATTTATTCCCTAATGCCAATTCAACAAAGGGCAGCTGTCTTGAAAGAGCAGTATTTTTGCAGCTGGCATAGCTTCAACATTCCAAGCTGCTGTCACTGCGATGCTATCCAGTTATAAATGTTTCCTTTAAAAAATAAAAAGCCCTACAAACCCTAAATTAACAACAAAACAAAAAACTCAAAGAAATATAACTTAAAAACACGGGGTTTGCCATCCATCTTGATGGAGCAGGATATATCCTCCACTGACACTGTCCTGCCTGCAATCAGCTCAGACAGCACACCAGGGTCCCATTTCCGTCCCTTGGCTATGTGCAAACAGATGTAGGAAGAACCCACTCACCCACTAGGGAAAAGAGGGCAAGAAGTCCTGGTATTGGAGTAATTGGCTAACATTTCATCCTTCTGGGATAGGGCACTTGAGGGAGGCGAGGCCTGCAGGACCCATGAAGACCGGGCACAGCCAGGTCACCCCCTTCCTGGCATGGCCACACCCTGTTGGGCATATTTGTTTTTTTTTTGTTTTTAAAGAAACCCAGTCTGGCAACCCTACTTAAGGTTCAAAATAATACTGTAATTATTACACAGATATAACATTTATTCTCTGAACACAACTGTTAAATTCATTAAATCTTTAAATTCATTAAAAAGAAAAAAAGACTGTAAACAAGTGGCCAAGCACTGTACTCAAAGGATTTTGTTGTTTTTCTTTGTCGTCCATGATGGGTTAAAGGCCCCAAGTAGTTCAATGGCTAGCTTTTCTCATGACCCCAATGAGAGCAAGCACTAGGCCTGCACTGAAATTGAAAAGGCAGGTTTCACAGGTCCTTCTGGGCATTGAGAAGTGCAGCCAGAGGCAATCACTGTGTTGGGATGATCTTGGAATCTGGAATGATACTGTGGATGTGGCAGGCAGCAACAGTGGGCACTCAGAGGCTGCTGCACTGTGCATTTCAAGCAACAAAGTCTGAAAAGTGCCAGGGCAATTTCTTCACAGTACTTCACATGCAAAGGGGACAGGAAGAGGGGGAGAAGAAGCCCCATGCTGCTTTTAAGGCAGGGAAGGAGGCAAATTGGTCCGCCATCCTCAGGATGTAAGTTCCAAGGCTCCACTGCTAGGGACATCTTGTGCTCTCCTCCTTCAGGTGGCTCACACAGCGGACACCTGCTCCTCTTCTGTAGACATAGCAGGGAAGAAAGAGAGAAGTCAATGAATGAGCAATTTCTCATGCTATAGCACATGCATTCACTAGTGTACTAAATTGAAAAAAAATCAGTTATACATATGTTTAATACAGCTCACTTAAAATTAGGATCTTCTTTTTCTATGCAACTATTAATTTAAAAGCTTAAAAACTGATCTATACTGGTAGCTTTAGTGTGGCCTTGTTTGTGTTTTATTGGATAAATGTCCAGGAATGGAATTGCTGAGTCATAGGGAAGCTCTATGTTTAGCCTTTTGAGGAACCTGGATACTAACACAACTATATTCACTGCAGTATTATAGTTCACCATAACCAAGATATGGAATCAACTAGATGTCCCTCAGTGGATGAATGGATAAAGAAAATGTGATAACACACACACACACACACACAATGGAATTCTACTCATCAGAGAGAATGATATTGCATTATTCATCAGAAAATGCAAAGATTTGGAAAAAAATTATATTAAGCCAGATCCAAAGCAAACAAAGGTTGCATGGTTTCCCTCATATGTGAGAACTAGAATGTGCCTATAAATCTACAAGTAAATACAATGAGTGGTAAAAGGGGAAAAAAATATAAGGACATGATAAATTATACAGATCTGTAGGTATTCATGGAGTTAAGACCAAAGGAGGACATTCTTAGTAAAGGATCCCATAGGCACAATGACTTACGTGCATCTGATCATACATATAAAATGATATTTATTGAAATGACAAGAAGAACAAGGTTTTTAAAAAATTTCTTTTTGTTTTCATTTCCTTTTGTCTTATTTGCTTATCTGTTTTGGGAGGGTGGGGGGCACAGGAATGGTGGGACAAAGGGTGAATAAATGCAGCAGTAATATTCACTAGACCCTATGTTCAAAATGTACTATACAACTTGTGGGTGGGGACAGGAGGAAAAAACTGGGAGAGAGCAAGGGAAGGGGTGACATTGTTCAAAAAGTAAGTCTTTATCCACTTGAGTAACTGTAACCCCTCTGTACATCACCTTTACAATCACAGTAAATAAAGAAAACCGAGCTATGATGTAAACATTTTAAATATTATATACATAATACTACATTTTAAACACTATATACACAATACTACAAATATACCTAAAAGCAAGCTAACAGTTGTGGTGTTTTAAAAATCACCAAAGGTAGTATCAACCACTACCTGAGAATATCATAGTAACTTCTTACAAAAACCTGAAGAACAATAGCAGGTGTGGACATGGAAGTGCTCCTACAATCCCAGCACTCAAGAGATAGAGACAGGAACACAAGTTTGAGGCCAGCATAGATTAAATGAGATTTTGCCTCAAAATACAAAAATAGAATAAAATATGTATTGTATTTTTATTAATTAGAAAGTTATTAGTAATAAATTCATGAAAAAAGTCACGGAATAACTTATTTATATGTATGTAGAGATAGGTATATAATAATGACAGATATTAAAGAGTTAATATCTTAATTACTCTGGAGACTGAGATTCAGAAGAATCACAGTTCAGAAAACTGAAAGGCAAAAAGTTCAGTGTGGTTGTGTGAACCTGTCATCCTAGCTACTTAGAAGTACAAATGGGAGGATTGTAATCTATGCTGGTGGAGACCCTATTTGAAAAATAATAATAGAAAAAGGGCTGGGGATAGGGTTCAAGAGGTAGAATACCTGTTTAGTACCCATGAGACCCTGAAATCAACACTCCCTACTACCCCCCAAAAAAGAAAGTCTATAAAGATATAGAAAAAGGCTAACAGCTGGGTGGTGGATGCCTGTAATCTTAGCTACTTTGGAGGCTGAGACATAAGGATTGTGGTTTGAAGCTAGCCTGGGCCGGAAAACCTGTGAGACTCTTATCTCCACTGAACTACCAAAAAAAAAAAAAATCTGGAAGTGGAGCTGTGGCTCAAATAGTAGAGTGCTAGCGTGTGTGCGCTCACACACACGTACACACACGGACACACGCATGCACACACACACACAAAGCTAACAGTTGTTTTCTACAAGTGGAAAGTTATTAACTAGGGGTGAGGGGTTGGGAATTGGGGGCATTGATCTTGATCTCTGTCTTCCTCAATGCAGCACAGGCAGGTAGATTTGAAGAAAGGAAACATTTAACCATTCATGTTTGTTAATAGAACAAACTTATGAGAATTTGACTTTTATACTTAAAATAGGAGCACAGCAGTGGTAGGTTGCTTGCCCAGCAAGCTCAAGGTTCTACATTCTTTCCTGTGTACTTTATTACAGTAACTATTCTGTAACTGTTGGCTTTAATTAAACCACAAACCAAGGGCCAGGCTACCCTATCTGAAAAAGCAGAAACAAAAGAGCCAGGGGGCATAGCCTTTAATTCAATCCCTAGTATCACTAAAAATTAAAATAAATAAATAAATAAAAAGGACAAAACCCTCAGACACAGAAAGCAGTGGGAAGTTTTCACTCTAACCCTAGAACTGGGACTAGACATTGTGTGAGCAGCAGGTGAGGGAGCCACAGCTGCTTGGGCCCTGCCTAGGACATAGGTTCCCCAGTGCGCGCATGCATGTACCATCCTCCTGGGTGGAAAACCCTTGCGGCTGATAGGCGGCCAGGCGGGGGTCAGCATCACTGGGCTTGTGCCACTGTGGCTTGCTGGAGGGTCTGCTGCTGCCCGTCGGGGGTTGCACCTGCGCAGGAGAGGAGGGCCCAGTGGCATCGGATGGTCGGGCCACCATGCGTGATCTCTGCAGTGCCACGCTGTAGTCGGGGGGCTTCCGGGCCGGGTGGGAATGTCCATCTGGGAAGTCAGTGATGGGGATGCCCACGTAGCCTGGAGGGGTAGGTGGGGGCTCCCGGTACCTGCCCTCCTTGCGTGCTATGGTAGAAACCAGACACTGCTGTTAGGATGTGGGGGAAGGATCTTATAAAATAAAACCAGTTGATACAGCAAATATATGACAGTGGCAAATGTGCTCTTCTGAGGTCCTGCATGGGAAAGCAGGTATATGGCAGGAAATGCATGCTGTTACCTAAAGCAAAAGCTTGGCGTGGCTAGGTACAATCAGAAGGCAATTAACCTAAGAGCATCACACCATAAACAGACTACTTCAAAACTTGCTGGAAACGACAAAGTAGTAAGAAGGTGAATTTAACCCGAAGAGGAAAGTGAAGCAGAGAACCCAGGCTTCCCAGTTACAATGCCTGGTACAGGCTGACCAGAGGAAGCAGTATAAATCCAGCATTACCCCAGGTCTTTGGGCTTCAAGGAAGAAAACAGTGCAGTAAAATCAATGTAGAAAAGTAGTACAAGGAAAAAATAAGAAAGGCTGCCAACTGCAAAACTCTAAATCTATGCCCGCATTTTTTCTGCAAGTCCTTTTATTGTTTGTGACCTACAACATGTAGTATTGTGAGCAAATAAAGCACAATAATTTTCTCAAACTTTCTAGGCAACCAATAGAAACTAACAATCTTGCTTCCTTAGCAATGATAATTCTGAAAATTAGTTTATTAACAGAAACTATGTGAAAAAGACTACCTAGGATTAGGGATTTATGTAGCTATGACCACCTTATTCATTTTAGAAAAATAATAAATCTAACATTCACTCATGATTACTTACTGGGTAAAAAAACCCTACAATTTCCCTGTTAATAAGCAAACTCACAGAATTTAGTGTTTTGCCTGGTGTCATAGAGACAAATGAGAGACGTCAACTCCCCTGCTTGCCTCAGAAGCCTGAGCTCTTTCTCCCTACTCTTGTAGGGTGCACAGACCACTTGCTTATCACAGAAACAATATTATGCATAGCAAAAAGCAATAATATGCAGAGGATAAAGTTCTATATATAATTCAAGGGAACAAGAGAATAAAATATTTTTTTAAGTAGCAAATGAAAGAAAAACCTTTTTCATGAAGAATGGACATCCATCTTAATAATTTCCAGGTTGAAAGAAAAGAAAAAAACAGACTAGAGGATATCTGTAGTGACCATCAATGAGGCCCAAGAAGGTTTTGCTGAATGTTTTTCTATATGTACCTGACTATAAAATCTGTTAATTACATTGCAAAATTCTAACCCACACCAAGTGCAAAGCTCTGCACATAGTAAGGCAAAATGAGGAGCCACACCATTTGATTTTTAGAAAATTAAAGCCACAATCCCTTTGGCCAAAGCTGCTCCATTTCCACTTACTGATGAGTCCCTTGGCGGTGCTCGCTGTCACAGATATGTGGGTAGACACAGGGACAGGTTTGGTTTCCTCTGTGGTGACAGATGCCACACTGCTGCTTTCAGCTTCAATGGAGACATCTTTCCCACCCCGGCGCTTGATTGTTCCCGTGTCGCCTTCTGAGTCTTCTCCCCAGTACCCAGTGGAAGATGCCCAGCTCGCTCGGGACTGGGCTTGTTCAAGACTCTCTCTACTTTGATTCTGCCTGTTATACTTTGTGCTATGATCAGAAAACATAATTTGGTCCATATGGCTACTTGAGGCCCATAAACCTGCAGGATCCCCTGAATAGTCAAAGTGAGTGTGCCCAAATGGAAGTGTTTCCCAGCTTCTCTGGTGCTGGATGGTCTGGATGTTATCATGGGAACCACTTGAACACGAAGTCCAGCTCCCACGGCCACTGTCAGCGGCATCCAGGGAAGCCCGGTCCCCCTGGTCCTGGGAAAGCTCCTCTGTGCTTGGAGAAGAAATGACTGTAGCTGCAGCATACAAGCCTCGGCTTTCAGACATTGGTGCATAGGACCTAAGTCAAACAAAAAGGAAGATAGGTCTCACCATGTAGCTTAGGTTGGATTTAAAAACTTGCAATCTTCCTGCCTCAGCCTCCCAAGTGTTGGGATTACAGATATGTATCACCACACACATTTCCCTAAGAAAGACAGCTTTCTTCCATCCCAGTAAGAGGGTAAAAGTGCCATTAAATGGTATTTGAGTGGCCAGCTCTCATTTGGTCATTATCACAAAGTAAACAAGCACAAAGTGAATAGAACAAGTTGAACATTTTCCTTACAAGGTTAAATATGATCTGATGGTCCAGGGAAAGCAGTTAGTACAAAGGACCTGGAATATGTCCGAGTCACCTTGTGCCAATAAAGAATAAACCTAACTAAGAAAAGTAGTAAGCACAGCAAACACAACGTGATATTTCATCTAGAAAGGATTCATTATTAAGAGAGACATGGTAGAGAAGGAATGAAGAATAAGACCAGCCAAGCACAGTGCTTACCCTAAGCTGTACTGATCAGGCTCTATCAGGGTGCGTCGCTCCATCCTGCCCACACCCAGGTTAGTTTCCACGATGCTGACAGAATGCCTCTGGCGCCTCTCGTCATGTGGTGGGACCGGCACTGAGTCAAAGGAAGAATTGCTGACAATACTGGATCGTGAAGAAATTTCACTGTGACCAGAATCTGAAAAATTATCCACAGTACCACTGGGAGCCAAAGTATAACCTGCATGAGAAATACCATCACATTAATTAGACTCCAAACTATTGCACTAAATCGTAGGCATGAATATCACCATTGCAGTGGTGATTTTTTCTTTCATTTGTAGAGACCAAGTGACCAAGAAGTTACAATTTCACTCTAACAGATCTTCAGTTGCTAAATCAAAGGTTAGAGGGGACAAAAAATATATTGCTTTATGAGTTAGGTACTTAACTACTTTTAGCTTCCCTAGCTATAAATTATACTATTATTAAGTTTATATAAAGAAACCCAGCTGGGGGTGTAGCTCAGTATGTCTGAGGCCTGGGGTTCCACCCCCAGCAGCACCAAAACAAACCACCAAAAAAATCAACCCACAAAAACCCCTAGGAAGTATCAGACTTAAAAGTATGAATTTTCCCCTCAATTACAAAGTCATAGCAATCTTGTTTTCAATCTTTAGAATTGTTTGTATAGCACAGAACAAGTCAACCTACAATATCTGTATATACTTATCATTTTAAGTGGATATCTAAAACAAAAAGAATACGATCTGAAGAAATTATCTTTGAGCCAGGCAACAGTGGCTCATGCCTATAGGCTGAGATCTGAGAATTGCAGTTCAAAGCCAGCCCGGGCAAGAAAGTCTGTGAAACTCTTATCTCCAATAAACCACGAGAAAACTGGAAATGGCACTGTAGCTCAAGTGGTAGAGCGCTAGCCTTGAGCTGAAGAGCTGAGAGACAGTGCCCAGGCCTAGAGTTCAAGCCCCACGAACAACCAAAAAAAAAAGAAAAAAAGAAATTATCTTTGAATTTTTGCCAGTTTTTCAACATTAATATTAGTTAAATGATATATTAAAAAATCAATTGTTTTGAAAGCTGCAATACACATTTTCGTCAGACCAGCACTATAAATTGTCTAAATATGTCCATTTCCTGGTCTGAAAGGAGCTCTTACCTCCCTTTTACTATAAGTAATTTTTAAAGTCACAAAGAAAGGCTTGCTTTGTGGTAGTTTTCCCTCACCCCCTTTTAACTTGTTTTTTGTTTTTCCTATATTACTGGGGGTTGATCTTATCCAGTTTGTTTCTGAGATTGCTGGTCTTGAACAACAATCCTTGTAGCTCTGCTTTCAGAGTTGGTAGGATTGCAGGCATGCACCACAATACCTGGCCTGCTTTAGTATTTTGGTTGTTTTTGTTAGCCAGTCCCGGGGCTTGAATTCAGGGCCTGGGCACTGTCCCTGAGCTTCTTTTGCTCAAGACTAGCACTCAAATCACTTGAGCCACAGTGCCACTTCTGGCTTTTTCTGTTTATGTGGTATTAAGGAATTGAACCCAGGGCTTCATGCATGCTAGGCAAGCACTCTACACTAAGCCACATTCCCAGCCAAAATTTTGTTAATTATTAGTTTTATTATTTTGTTGGTCATGGGCCTGGGACTCAGGGCTTGGGTACTGTCTCTGAGTCTTTTTGCTCAAGGTTATTAGCATTCTACCACTTTGAGCCACAGCACTACTTCCATGCTTTGGTATTTTTAACAAAAATAATTCAAATCTTCTTACTCATTTTTTTTCTTTTGTACAATGTAACTAAGGATCTCATACAAAGCAATTATGTGTGATGACTATATATATTATGTTTTTGCAAAATAATTTTTTATAAAAGTAAGTGCTACCAATTTAATAAATGTTCCCACTGATTACTGATTTATTTTTTTCAAGGTTACACAGGTCTTGATAAGATTTGGTTTATTAAAACCCATTCTGAAGGTTCTGACAGACAAGATTTAGATCATTCCCTAAAAAGTATGCTTAAAAAAGTTCTAAAAAAATAATCATTCAGATGTTGTACTTGACATTGGGTGGCCATTTTTCTTCAACTAATATGATGAATCCTCTCTTCCCCACCCTGGTTTTGGTTCTAAAAACCCCACCTATCCCATAGGTCCGTGGTGCATTGTTATTCTTGTTATTGTTCTCACTTCCAAGAGAAGAGGAGGAACTGGTTAAGTCCAACTGCCCGGAGCCAAAAGATCTCAGTAGACTGCCACTGCCACCTAACAAGGGGATGAGAAAAAAATTTAGAAATCCATTTAACAAGGTCCTAGAGTGGACACCAAACAAAAGCACAGGTGTCTCAACTTGCACAAAATAAAGCAGAGTTTGTTTTGTCAGGGAAGTACAGTAACTTATTAAGGTTTGGCTTTCTAGTAGGCATCACTCCTGGATGATCCTCACTCAGAGGAGGAAACAGTAACCTGGAAGATCACGTGTGTTTTAATATGAAGAAGAAACCATGTAAGGAGAAGAAACAACCTGAATGTCTCTTTAAAATTATGAGAAAGGGAGCCAGGCATTGGTGGCTCATGCATCTAATCCCAGCTATTTAGGAAACTGAGATCTGAGGATCATGTTTTGAAGCTAGCTGGGGCAAGAAAGTCCATGAGACTCTGATCTCTAATTAGCCACCAAAAAAGGGGAGAAATGGAGCTGTCTCTCAAGTGGTAGAATGCTAGCTTTGAGTAAAAAACGTAAGGGACAGTTCAAGCCCAGTATCAGCACAGAAAGAAACAAACAAACTAAATAGAGAAAGGTAATCAAGACCCATGATAATACGGTAAAAAAAATAAATCAGAAACACTGTGCTTTCTCAATGTTTTTAAAGCTCTTTTTTTCTGGTATTTATGTTCAAATTTATTAAGAACAAATTAACATGAAAATAATTTTTCTTGTAGTTATGGTTAATAAAAAATTAAAGTGATTTTAAAAAAGGTTTTATACAGTTAAGTTATAACATTATTAAAATTCTCTAATGTTTATAAAGGGAAAAAATGCCCACTGAATGTCACATAGGAGATCAGTTTAAGTGATTCTAACAGTAAAAATTTTGTAATGCCTAACTTGCGAGTTCAGTATTACTGAAAAATGTGGAACTAAATCAAGAATGGGAGTACTACCTTTCCTTGGGGAACTCTGTGGTGAAGTGGGAGGAGAAGACAGCTGAGAAGATGTGTTGGAGATGGTGTCTTCTGCTTGCCTCTTGTGACGCTCCAAACTCCCTTCTTCAGACAGAGAAAGAATTTTCTTTAAAGCTTGTGGAGAGTTTATGCCTGTAAAAGAAAAAAACAATATCACAGGCATTTTCAAGAAAGAGAGGAAATATCAATGACTAAAAAATCCTATTACAAGATGGGCACCAGTGGCTCATTCTTGTAATCCTAGCTACGCAGAAGGCTGAGATCTGAGGATTGCAGTTCAAAGCCAGCTTAGGCAGGAAAGTTCGTGAGATTTTTATCTCCAATTAAACACCAAAAAAACGGAAACGGTGCTGTGGCTCAAGTGGTAAAGCGCTAGCTTTGAGCTGAAGAGCTGAGAGACAGTGCACAAGCCCAGAGTTCAAGCCCCACAACTGACAACAATAAAAAAAGCCAATTACAGTAGCTTTCAACCTATTTCCAAACTAAATATTCTCTAAATCTAAATAGGCAAGGGATACTTCTGGTCTGGTTTCTGACTGGTATATGCCAGAGGACAGGACATGAATACTTGAAATAGATTGTTTCTGACATTGTAAGGATCACCATTCAACACCATGCTGGGCAATGATGTAGGATAAAAAGCCCACAATTAGGGAACAGGTAAAAGGAGCATAGTCAGTTTCAACTCCAATCATTAGAACTCGAATTAGGGCTGGGAACTTAACTCTGGGAAATCAAGGATGGGAAAAAGAAAAGGGCCACAAGCTAACAAGTAAGTAAATAGGAAAAGTGACTAAATGAGCTGTATAAGGATTTTCATGACTTAAATACTTGACTCAAGTGAACAGACAGAAGATAGGGCAAGTACTGAGCCACAAATCCTGTACCAGGGAGGAAGATGCCTGCACTGGGGTCCCCTTTCAGTTACTGTTCAGAAATAAAGTCACATTACAATATTTTACAAACATCTTATATTATTTTAAGATACAGTACTCTCAATTACTTGATTTTAAACAAGTTTTGAAATTTTCCTGGGAGGAGGGACCAAGGGCTTGAAACTCATAGCATTAATTTTAAATGACCACAGATTTAACAGATCCATTAAAAAGGAGATAGTAATATTTTACAAAGATCCTTCTACCTTATGTGAGTAGTTAATATAATATTATTTTTTGCTTTATGTAGAAATATTAATACACGTTTTGTATGAAAATACTACACTAAAGCTACATGAATGAATAGCATTCTCACACATTAAAAAGGAGATGCATTATCTTTCAAACACCATATATATGCTATGCCTTAGAAAATCATGTTAGCTACTCAAATGTGGATCTGGTGATCATTTTGTTTGTAGAGACAAACATTTTGTTTATGAAGCTTAGGTTGGCCTGGAACAGGTAATCTTCCTAACTCAGCCTCTAGAGTGCTGGGGTTACAGGTATGCTACCATAACTGGCTAGTGATAATTTTTACTGAGGTAAAAGATGCAGAAAGTGTTTAGGATAACATTATTTGATGAATCTGAATGAAGAGCAAAACTTCTCAATATCATTAAATTAGTAACAGCATTCTAAATGTGTTAAACTAATCCCTTAAGATGACATATATGACACTTTATTCCCTCCATTTTCTATTTGTGGCAGTACTCAAATGCAGATGTACAAATGGCTAATAAATACATGAAAAAATATTTACTATCCTAGTCATAAAGAAAATGCAAATCAAAACACTGAGAGTTGCTGGGTGCTGGTGGTTCACGCCTGTAATCCTAGCTACTCAGGAGGCTGAGATCTGAGGATCACGGTTCAAAGCCTGCCTGTGCAGGAAAGTCTGTGAGACTCTTATCTCCAATAAACCACAAAAAAAAACAGAAGTGGCGCTGTGGCTCAAGTGGTAGAGCGCTGGACTTGAGCTGAAGAGCGCAGGTACAGTGCCCAAGCCAGAGTTAAGCCCCACGACTGACAAAAAAAACAAAACAAAACATTGAGAGCTTACTTCAGCCTAGTTAAAATGGTCATCATCAAAGAAACAAAAACAAATGCTGGCAAAGGTTCAGGGAAGGAAGGTACTCCAAATACACTGTTGGTGTAATGTAAATTGGGATAGCCACTACAAAAATTAGTATGGAGTTTCTCCAAAAAGTAAAAATAGAACTACCACATATCCTGATCTACTATTCCTGGGCTTTACCTGGAAGAAGCAAAGACAACATACAACAGAAACACCCACATGCCATGCTTATTGCAGCACTATTGACAATGGCCAAGTTATGGAATCAGCTAGGTGTGTACCCATTAAGAATTATTATGATTCCATTATAAAGAATAAAACGATGTCACTGTAGGGAAATGAGTGGAAATGGAGATTATCATGCTAATTAAAACAAGCCAGACTGAGGGAGACACATATTGTACATTTTCTCTCACATGTAGACTCTATATTAAACTAAAAAAAAAAAAACACACACACATAAAGCCAGGCACTAGTGGCTCATGCCTGTAATCTTTGCTACTCAGGAGGCTGATATCTGAGGATTGTAGTTCGAGGCCAGCCTGGGTAAGAATCTAGTTCATGGAACTCTTACCACCAGAAAACCGGAAGTGGAGCTGTGGCTCAAAGTGGTATAGCATTAGCCTTGAATAAAAAAAACTCAGGGACAGTGCCCAGACCCTGCCTGAGTTCAGGTCCCATGACAAAAAAAAAAATAAGACATGAAATTAGAAGAGTTGCTAATTAGGAGATGGGAAATAAGAGAGTGATTAGGGTGAATATGATTGAAGTATATGGAAATGTTGTGAAAACCATTATTGTATGCAATTAACAAATCAGATGCTGTTTATAGAAACAGCCCTACCTGCTAGCAAAAAGTATAGTTTAATTTGCTATGTATGCTTGATTAGGAGATGGTAATCATATTTAAGGGTATTAGATACTAAGTTGTCCAAGATAAAGATTACAAAGTAAAGAGTAGATGACTTACCAAATGGTGGAAGATCCTTCACGGGCACTTTCTTCCGTGAGGGGTACAGGGACACAGCAGGAACCTGCAGGCCCTGACTGGCTTTATGTGGCGGTGGCGGTGGCAGTGGCTGCTGCTGTGGTTGTGCTTTCTGCTGTGACCCTGCACGTGGAGCCACTGGGGAGGTTTCAGACTTGGCAGGCTTCTTGTCACCTGGGTTCTTGGGTACTGGTAATTGTTCGGTTTGCAAAAAGAACAGAGTTTGTTAGTAGCTATGTGGATGATGATTTTAGGACTGCTTAAGCATTCTCTGCAGCTGGAACATTAACATGCACTCTTAACAACATAAACAGGGAAAAATTAAGCACAGAAAATACCAGTAGCATGGCAGGACAAGGACATTTGCCATAGGATACTAGTAATCGCAAAAGGTGATTATATTATCTAACAACAATTCAACACAATGTGGACATGTGTAAAAACCCCCACAAATATGTGAAAAAAAGCTACAATAGGGAAATGATTAGGATTTTTGTAAAATGGCATAGAAATTCTATGACACATTAAGTTTTAATTTAGTAAATGTTATTGTCACCTATTGATGACAAAGCTTCCTCTGAGGCAGAACTGACTCTAAGCAAACAGCTAATAGTGCTTGCTTTATACTGAGCATGTAGCTCCATGATAGATGGAAATATATTTGGCAGGACAATGGATAGGTCTATATAGACTCTCACTACCAAGATGACATGTCAGTTTATTCTCCACTTCACAGTTCAGCTAAGGACTATTAACTCAGTAACTCATAGACTTTCCTGCCCCAGCTTGCTGTGAACTTTGATCCTCCAATCTCAGGCTCTTGAGTAGCAGGGCTGCAGGTACGTTCTACCAAGCCTGGCCTATAGCCTGGTCAGATTTCAAAAGGCTAGGGCTTACAAACTAAGTAAGTTGTGGCTCACTGTGCATCTAGGATTTACTGCTTTAGGTTACAGCTGCATTTGCTGCTGGGTGCTATCTGGGATTGGGGCAGCCAAAATGGCTAGTTCTGTGCCTCTTTGACCTGATTTGTCCCCTAACTCCCCCAGGTTGCTCAAAGCTTTGGAAGTTTCTTAGCAAGAAAAGAAAACACAGATACTAGAGCTTCATGTAGCCACATGTCCCTGCAGGTGCTCCAGTTATGTGGGAGGAAGGCAAAGCAAGCCTGAATGGGTCTACTGTCCTCCCCCGTAGCAACTAAACTGCACAAGAAGGCCTGTTGATCACAAGAGAAAAACTTGTGCTCAGAACTGCATTCTCTTTTTCTTAAAGCCCCTTCTGCCCCTACCCCTGCCATTGTATGCACACTCTGTATTCCCATGTCTGCAGTAACACTCACATGTGTTGGTGGCTGGCTCACACTGCAGTGATAAGGTCTGAAGACTCTCCTCATCCATTTCCAGTTCCAAATTAGACAGGTATTGCTTCACTTTTCGAGCCATTTGGGCATCTTCATACAGCTTTTTGGCATTGAGGAAGGAACTACGACGTACACGCTTTTTGTGGCCGCCTGTCTGAGCAACGTCCAGTACTGTGGCATTTGCACTACCCTGGCTGAGTGACCTGGAGGACAAACTGCAACTCAGTAACTCACTCATTCCTTTCCTGTATCAGTCTAGCTAATTATGTAACTATTCTATCTTCTATGTAAACTCTGTGGTCTCATAAAAGACTGGGGCTAAAGAAAGAATTAGATATAATCTCTACATAAATGTCTGTTATAAACCTGTTCCAGCAGCTAGGAAATTTTACTTTTCACCTCTACATAGTATTCAGGGCATTGTCTCAAAGAGGCCAATGAGTGATAACTGTATATCAAAGTTCATGCAAGAATATATAGCTATCATCATAATGTTAAATTTACTTCTCAATAAAATGTCCTATACAGACTTAAGTAATATCATCTACCACGTTGGCAACCGTTTCCTTACTCCTGGGTTGAATGTGGTGAGTTTTCAAAAGTAATAGAGTCAATCTGTTAATACAACAGTCATGCAAATGTAAACACGTATGGATGAAAACTACTCAGCAATGAATTGTTAAGAATTATTATTTTTTTAAAGGATTGGTTTATACAGAATGAAAATAGTAGTTAGTTGAGCTGTAGAAAATTTGCTTGCCCACCTTTTCTATTTTATCTACATACCTCCATGTATCTTATGCAACAGTGTTTCATGGCATGGTTTTTCCTTCTATTACCATTTCCCCTGCCCCTTACTCTGAATTTTTCCCATCTCAAGACATGTAAATTCTATTAAAATCTTTTCTTTGTGTGTGTGAGAGCTGAGAAACAAGCCTGCTCTATGGTTCCCCACTGCTCCTTCCAGAGCTCTCATGGGTCATGACTTCAAAAGCAAAAGCCCCATAACTGGTCAGTTTGCTATCTGCAATTCTGCTAGAGCAAGAGCGTTAAGAAAAAAAAAAAAAAGGCAAAGCATCAGAAGAGAGCAGGGATGAAAACAATGCAATGGGCTGCGCAAGAATTGAGTGCGGGTGTGCAAGATGTGCAGCACTTACCCCAGACTCCGCCACTTCTTCTTCCTGTAAGTGAGAGCCATGGAGAATGAAGCATGGTGTAGAGAGAGAGAAAGACAGAAAGATCACAAGCTCAGAAAGAAAGGCCTAGACTTCTGGATAAGCAGGTCTAGAAGCCTATAAACATTAAACTGCACAACCACCTCACTACATACTGCTTTACCGAAAACAATTTTCTGGCTCCAAAGTTAATATTTAATTTCTTTTTTTTTCCTTTTTTGTTCTAGAAAGACTTCTTTTGTCTCCTTCACCTAATTCTTTCTCTTGTGTGTGTGTGTGTGTGTGTGTGTGTGTGTGTGTGTGTGTGTGTGTGTATACTGTGGCTTGTACTCAAGGCTTGGGTGCTGTCCCTTAACTTACTTCCCTCAAGGCTGGTGCTCTACCAATAGCACCACAGCCCCACTTTGGGCTTTTTGGTGATTAATTGGAAATGAACAGTCTCACAGATTTTGTTACTCAGGTTGGAGCTGTACCATAATTCTTCAGATTTCCACCTCCTGATTAGCTAGATTACAGGTGTGAGCTACTGGCACCAAGCCAATTCATTTTTTACTTCGCTGACAGCTACATCCATTGTGTGGATAGAGACAATATTTGTGGTTATTTACATATCTTGGCTCATATTACCAGTTACAAGCTCTAACTCTTTTCAGTGTCCTGAAAAATAAAAAGCAAACACTTTTGTGACTGCTAAGTTCAAAATGTCTTAAGGACAAGCCATGTTTTTCTGATTGTCAGAAAAGTCCCTGATGCAGAATGAGATTTTCTCCAAATCAGTGATTACTAGCACATGTAATATAATTACTGCTATACTACAAATAACGTATCCCAATCTTTCTCATTCACAGGGATCTCTAAACTCAACCTCGCTAACCCACTCGAGCCACCACACAGGACTCACGCACCGGGTTCTGAACATGAGGGCTGGGTCCATGTTGACTGAAGCCATACGGCCAACGTGACGAATTTCTTTTGCAATCATCCTTAGCTTCTCAAAGTTGACTAGCCCATCTACTTTTGAGTCGTTTCCTAGGATTGGCAAAGCAGGAAAGGAAATCATATGGTGTTCAGGCTGTGCTTCTGAGAAGGCAGAGCTTCAACCTGTGCTTACCTTCATGGAGGAATGTGAGGTCCTTCTTGATGACAGGGAACAGGGGGATGACAGGAGGCTGCAGATTCTGACCACTGAGGACATTACGGTATTTTGCCATGTTTCTGGAAGGATCAAACAGATCTTGGAGGTCTTGGAATAGCTTTTCATATTTATTGGGAAGTTTTTCCCAGGTAGTTCGCAGTCTTGCCACTGGTGCCAGGTTTAAGCCACTGACAGAGGGGAGAAGGGGGGGGGAAGGTAAATATAATGAAATGATTCTGTCTGAAATGGAGGAAGCAGACGGTGTAGTTTATTTACTGACACACTGCACCTCACCTCTCTGTGCTCTCTGTATATAAAGCATTACAGAGAGATATATAAGAACTTTATGACAGTCCTAGGGAAAGGAGGATGGCAGAGAGAAACAGGGCCAGGATCAAGCCTAAGGGTTTTTCTGGTATTCCCTTTACTTTCTGCTACTCTGTTTTTCTTTACTCTATGCTACAGAGAAGATCTGAAATGTCACCCAAAGTCAATATGCTCAGCCCTGTGTAGAAGAGCCTCCCAGAAGGCAGGCTGTGAAGGGAGACTCTGAGAGGTGGGGAATAGTGGAAGATCTTAAGCTGCTGGGGAGGCATGACCTTGAAGAGGATTGTCTCTTCTTTATCATGTTTCAGCCACAAGGTAAACAGCTTAGTTGTGCCACTTGATCCTATCATCATAAACCTAAAAGCAGCAGGCCTGAAGTCTCCAAAGGTGTAAGCCAAAGCAAACAGTTCCTCTTTATAAAAATGATTACTTCTGGCATTTTGTTATAGTTACAGAAAGTGGACAGTCACACTGTCAACAAAACACAAATTTGTACTGTTGCCATTGCTCCACATTTAGGTCAATGCTTGATGCATAGCAGGCTTTATATGAAACAGATTGAGAAATAACCTGTAGTAATAAGTCACAGTAGACACATGATGAATAATCACTTTTAACATCAATAGAACTGTTTTTGATTTGCTTCCAGACTTAAATATAAATACTTAAAACGTTTACTGGATAAATTCTTTGTGCTTTCTCATGGAACTCCACATACACATATTTGTTTAATCTTGTTAGCAACTGTGAGTATTGTTTCACAAAGAAGTAAGATGATATTCAGAGATGTTCAAATAATTTGCTCAATGGAAACAGGAGTTTCCAGTCTCTAAACCAGCATATGAGAGATTTTACATTAAAGAATAAGAATCAGAGGAATCTAGTACCAGTGACTTACACCTGTAATACTATCTACTCAGCAGGCTGAGATCTGAGGATTGAGGTTCAAAACCAGACTGGACAGACAAAGCCAAGAAACTTCAATCTCCAACTAACCACCAGAAAGCCAGAAGTAGAGCTGTGGCTCAAGTGGTAGAACACCAGCCTTAAGCAAAAACTCTGAGACAGTGCCCAGGATCTGAGTTCAAATCCCCAAGCACCCTCTGCTACCCCCCAAAAAAGAACCAGAGGAAAGAAATGGTAAAATTATAGCCTAGAATGTACAAGGCCATGGGTTCCATCCTTAGGACTAGCCACCTTCCCCCCAAAAAAGTCAACTGTAAACTATTACATTTATAGAAGCTCTTTTTCATATGTAATGTGGCTATATCTATTCCAGCCTTGCTCTTTTACCTGATAATTGCAAACATGGAGTTGAAATTCTTGCATTCCCGACAGTGCAGTGCTATCTTGATGAAATGCTTAATGATCTTCATCCTCTTCAGCTGGTTTGTCTCTCTCAGAATCTCAGAGGCCACCCAAAATGTTTCCTGGTTAATGACTTCTTCAAATTTCTTCAGGTTAACACAGCTGGTTTTTGACTTGAGTTTAAATAAATCATCAATGTATTCAGTAGGTTCAATGTTACGGAAGAGCTCGAAATTCCTCATTGAGAGCTGTGTGGCAACTTCCACTGTGCTGAGCTGAAGCAGGGAAATCTGACTCTCTCGTAACAACTCCTGGGCATCCTCATCCGAGCACAGTGTTTCTGTTTCCATGTTGTTTTTCAGATAATATCTGGGAAGGCAAAAATGGATGCTTTTTATGGGAAGGTCAAGAGAACAATAAATTGATGAGATACTTTTCATCCTTGGGGGCAGTGCAGCCTCAAGATCAGAGCCTCCTATCCAGAAGGCAGGTGGAATGAATAGGTCACATGGAATTTTAGTTGCACAGGATATAGTTCCTTATTCTCTTTTCCTTTTCTACTATTTACAGTATTCAACTTGTTTGCTAATACCAACAGAAAAGAACAATTTTTGTACCATTAAAATAAATAAGTTGGCACTAAGAAGGAAGAAGGAAAGATGAGGTCCAAGTCGCTGCTCTATTTTGCCAGAAAGAAGAGAGAATCTGACAATTGACAGTTGCAAATGAGATCAAATTCACTTGTTTATTCAGATGGCTGAGGAACCTAAAAATGATTGTCCTTTTAGATCCTATGAATCCAACATTCTAAAACAGGCTTTAATTTTTAAATATCTAGATTTTCATGAAAACCATGTAAGTGGGCAGGTATTATCCCAACTAGTCAGCATAGGAAAAGGCTTCTAAACACTAATGATTTGTTATATGTCAAAGGGATTAGAACTTAGGAGCTAGGGCATCCTTCTCTTTTGAAGGAACTTGTTAAAACCAGCATCAGATGTTTGTTTTGTGTTTTTTTTTTCTGTCTCTTTGGCAGGGAGATGCTTTCTCAAAGCAAAATTCTGAAGAAATGAGATGATCAGAGAGAGGTCCTACTAAATTGGTCTTTTGCATATTTCACAAAACATTTCAGAACACAGATTCCTGGGGCCCTTGACATTCACAAATCTAATGGTCTCCATTTTGCAGATATTTGTGATGCCCATGACAAGGATCCATGTATAAATTTCCTGAAAATAAATATGACTCATGGTTAACTGCAACTCAATGGAGGCTCATATAACTCTACCATGATTGCAGATCTATCAATATACATTCAAATGATAACTCAGAACACCTGACCTCCTAAAATAAAACTACCTATTAGTATGGGTTGAAAATAAAAGCGAAGAGTAAGAAAGTTACAGTATTTTTCAAGGAGTTAAATCACAGTTTAGAGATATACCATGAAAAAATGATGAAACATTGCATAAGGAAAATTAAAAAAATGCTATTAAATGACTTTATTTTTACCAGTGTAGAATGCAGTCTTTATATGAGAGGCAACTTTCATTTACAATGGGGATATCATTGAAGAGCATGACAAAACCTAGGTGAAGTAACACTGCAAGTAACATGTGTACATGTCCCTTTGCCACCAAGACCAAACTCTGTAGCAACTAGTTTAGCTGTAGAGTTAAGAAGTGTTTTCTTTTCTATTGAGTCTTGTTAACTATGGGCCTCTCACTCTTGTTTGGCATTTTTACTAGAGCCAGGTGCTCTATCATGTGATCCATTTCTGGCTTTTTGTTGGCTAACTGGAGACAAGAGTCTCATGGACTTTTCTGTACAGGCTGGTTTGGAACTTTGATTCTCAGATCTCAGCCTCTTGAATAGCTAGGATTATAGGAGTAAGCCACCAGAGGCCAGTTAAGTAGTGTTTTCTATATAATGTACAATGATAACAGAGCTCCTAGGAAGTTAGGAATGCAGTAACACACAGCACTAGATTATTGGATGCATTTGTACACACCCAAGGAGAAGTGTGTACCCAGGGTTCCTTAGCAATTTGTGTGTCAAATTTCTTGCTCTATCAGCCAAGTGTTTAAATCTGCAGGGGCTCCTAGACATCTAAAAATCCTTTAAATTATTCATCTCCTATGAAGAGGGGCAAAGAAGTCTTGTAAAGTAGACAGTGTATACCTTCCACTCAGTTGTATTCTATCAGCAAGTTTGGAAAGCTGATCTGGAAGTCGTCTTTGCTTGATCACTCCTTCAGGAGTGACAGAGACTTCACACAGAGAATATTGATCTGGGGTGGCAGTCACGGCAAATTCCCGGATGGCCTGAATGACCACTTCCTTTGCTGTGGTGTCCTTACTGATCATGATATATCGGCTTTGCTGGTCAGCTTTAAACACCCGTAGCACTTGGTCTGGCAAGTCTAGGGGAAAGAAAACACACACATCTAAGTAGAAGGGATTTCAAAATATGGTAATGTAACTGCAAAATAATCTGGAGGAAACTTCCCTTGAAAAGAGGGTGAACTTTCACCTCTCAACCAACAAGGTATGCTGCAAGAACAAATCTCCCCCTATAGGTACTTAAGCAATCTACAGACATGTCCATAACATGGCAGCATAACAGCAATATAGTCAAGGGGATATCAAAGAGAGGAAAATTAGAACCTAAAGCTAATCTTTAGCCCATTGAGTTAACCCAAAATATGTCTCCTACTCTGTTTATTTGCCCTGACATGGTGGAAACTGCATGCTATATTAATTTGACAGGAAACAGCCCTAGAGAAATTCTTATCAAAACAGGCTTCAAGATATGACAAGAACTGGTTCAAATGCTTTGGAAGTTTGTTTCATCCTGATAGAAAGTTCATTTAAAGTAATCCTGTGTCAGAAGGGAAAAGACCACGATTAGCAAATTGAGGAGCACTGGTGCTCACCAGGAGTAGCGCTGAAGTCTAGAATACGGTGGTGTGACTGCAGCAAGTCAGGGTTGCTGGATGACAAGGTTCCGCTGACAGGCAGGGCAGCTGGGATATGTTTTGTCTGTCTCAGTCCGACTATGCTGTCGTCCTGAGACTGACCAATCCCAATGTCACTGGATAAAAACAGAAAATGACTAATAAGTTAAAAAGCTAGAAGCCATTATGGACTATAAAAATTAAAAACGACATTAGGAATCCCTGTACCCCAGTAAAAATGGCCATCATCAAGAATATCAGCAAGTGCTGGCAGGTATGTGGGGAAAACAGAACCCTACTAAACTGCTGGTGGAAATATAAACTGGTGCAATAGATGACAGTCTGCAGATTCCTCAAAAGCTAAACCTTATAATTACCCTATGATCCAATGATGCTAGCCTTGGGTATTCACCCAAAGGTTACAAGTCAGGATTCAATAAAGCCACTTGCACACCCACAGACATACATGTATAGAAGACACTATTCACTGTTGCCTAGATGCCCTACAACACATGAGTGATCATATGTGTGTGTATATACTCATATATGTATAAATATATTTACATATAAATATATAGAGAGACATGTATATCTATATCTATATACCTACATACACACACATGTTCATGCACACATACAATATGGAATTTTACTTATCCATCAGGAAGAATATTAGGTCATTTGCAGGAAAATAGATAGGCCTGGGAAAATTATGCTAAGTGAAGTAGGTCAGGTTCAGAGAACAAAGGATACATGTTTTCTCTCACATATGCAAGTTAGAGCTACATTATAAATGTACATGAAAACATATACAAAGTAATATGAATATATACACAAACAAATGGACTAAAGTATGGAAACTGACTAAAGTATGATACATGCAGGGGAGGATTCTAATGGTATAACTCCTTTGAACAACTAACTTGCAGTTTAATTTTGAGGGGATGAATGGGGTTGGGAGAGATGGGGGAGAATGATGGAAGAGGTAACGTTGCATTCATAAATTGACATGTTGAGGCAGAAGTAGGAAGATTGTGATCTGAGGTCAGTCCAGAAAAACCAAAGATAAAAAAAAATAAATAAATAAAAGCAAAAAGGCTAGAGGTATAGTTGAAGTGATAAAGAACTGGTCTTGTAAACATGAAGCTCAAGAGTTCAATATCCAGTCCTGGCTTCCCCCAAAATGCATATTTCTAGATGGAAGGGTCAAGTGTTTCTAAAACAAAAAATACAATGAGCATGCATCTGTGTAAACACACACCCCAATAAATAGATCACAAGCAAATAATTAAGAGCTTTAACTAGTTTCTATATACATCTTGAAATAAAAAATAACAGCTGGCTGGAAGGTTACCACAGCAGTAGTAATATGCTTGCCTAGCATACATGGGGTCCTGGATTCAATCCCAGCACAAAACAAAACAAACAATAAAAACTAAGACTGGGATATAAACTAAGGTATCATAAACAGGATAATTTTAGTGTAAATTCTTCCAAATTCATAAGTGAGTCAGGGACAAAATCAAGTATTTACTTGAACACACAAAGTTCTATAAAAAAATTTAAAATCCCCTTCATATGAATGGAGTTGTATTTTCAACCATATGAAACAGTTTTTGCTTAAGACACTGAAGGTTTATATTTACCCAAGATACAGGCCAAAGGCATAGCTGACTAGGCCACAACACCTCACCAAGTGGCTGCAACATTCCAGGTTACATCCACAAAAAGCTACTTTCTTACAAAATGTTTCTCAGCAGCAATATTTATATATCTATTTGTTTAAGAGAGGGTCAGGTTAGTAGTGAGGCTCAAATCATACCTGCCCAGTAAAACCCCAGTACTGAGACAGAGAGATAGACAGACAGATGAAGGCGAGGGAGAGAGAAAATATTTTGCTATCAGGCTGGCCTAGAACCTGTAATTATCCTGCCTTCTGAGTGCTGGGATCACAGACCCGTGTCACCATTCCTGACTCACAGCACATTATTATTTAAATTTTATTGTACAGGTGATGTACAGAAGGGTTACAATTATTTAAATAAGGTAATGAGTACATTTTTTTTGAGACAGTGTTATTCTTTCCCTCATTTTCTCCCATTCTCCAACTCCCCTCTCCCACACATTATTATTATTATTATTACTATTATTATTTTTTTGATCCTGGGCCTTGAACTCAGGGCATGGATGCTGTCCCTGAGTTTTTTTTTTGCTAAAGGCTAGTGCTCTACCACTTGGAGCCACAGTGCCACTTCTGGTTTTCGAGTGGATAATTGGAGATAAGAGTCTCATGGACTTTATTGCTCAGGCTGGCTTTGAACCAAAATCCTCAGATCTCAGCCTCCTGAATAGCTAGGAGCACAACACAACAACACTTTTATACTTCCCATGATAAACTAACAGTCTGTTACTCAGGCTTTCTTTTTCTACTTACCTAAGCAGACCAATCTGAATTCTATAGGCTTGTACCCTACCCACTCTTCCTCTAAACCCATCAAGTTGCCATGCCTATTCTGGCCAATTTGCCACGATGTGGCATCTTAGCTTCTGTAATACTAGTTAACAAAGAAAATTCAACTGATATTACAACTAGAAGATGTCTATCATTTACTAGGTTAATACTTGGTTGAAAAAATTTTTTAACAGGTTGGGAATGTGGGTCCATGATAGAGTGTTTGGCCTGTTGCCAGTGGTTCACACATGTAATCCTAGCAATTTAGGAAGCTGAGATCTGAGGATTGTAGTTTGAAGACAGCCTAGGTAGCAAAATCTGTGAGAATCTTATTTCCAATTAACCACCAGAAAACTGGAAGTGGTGCTGTGATTCAAAGTGGTACAGTGCTAGCCTTGAGCGAAAAAGCACAGGGATAGCATTCAGGCCCTGAGTTCAAGCCTCATGACCAACAAAGAGTTCCAATCCCTGCACTACAAAATATAAACAAAAATTTAAAAAATTTTGATTTCTAGGAAAGTTTAAGTAGTAACTAATATTTAAGTAGTAACTAATATCATCTATTCCACTGAATAAGAGGCTATGACGTAGACTAATTTTAAGTATTTTTTCTACTTGAATTGCATTATGAGTTATTTCAATAATTTTCATAAGAAATATTTAAATGAACTACGTGTTTACTAGAAATAGTTCCTCAGTGTTTTGGGGTTTTTTTTGGTCAATCGTGGGGTTTGAATTCTGTGCCTAGGCATTGTCTCTGTGCTCTTCAGCTCAAGGCGAGCACTCTACCACTTGAACCACAGCGCCACTTCCAGTTTTCTAGTGGTTTATTGGCGGTAAGAGTCTCACGGACTTTCCTGCCCAGACTGGCTTTGAACCGAGATCCTCAGATCTTAGCCTCCTAGGTAACTAGGATTATAGGCAAGAGCCACCAGAAACTCAAAAATACGTAGTTAGCGAGTATGGTGGTACATATCTGTCATTCCAGCTACACAGGAGGTTGAGATTGGGAGAACCACAGTTCCAGATGAGCCTGTCCAGAAAAGCTCATGAGATGCCATCTCAACAGAAAAAGGTAGGCATATTGGTATACATTTTTTCATCCCAGTTATGTGGGAAGCACAAATAGAGCTCTATCTCAAAAATAAAAAAGAGCTGGAGGCATGACTAATTGGTAAGAGTGCCTCGCTAGCAAGAGAGCAAAGTCCTGAGTTCAAATACCAGTTCTGGGGAAAAAAATCTAGTTAGGAATATTTTTTTTCTTTTCCCTTGTCTAGCTTTTGATTACCTTCTTAGACATATATGAAAAAAACATTATATTCTTCTATTCCATTTCTTGCCAGAATCCTGCACTGGGGATAGATTGTATCCCAGTTCTTACATGTCACATTTCTATTAAGACCTGCCAGGGTCAAACTGACTTCTGCTGGTGCTTTTTTGAGGGAAGGGGCTCATATTTAAGTCATAATCAAATGTGACTCTAAGATATTTTCTTGTTATATTGCTAATAATTTAATCTTATTTTTCATCCATTTCAAAATAAGCTGTTCATCAAGAAGGGTCACTTTAAAAATTGATTCCTATTTTCTGTAAATGCCAGCTGTCCTATTTACTGTCTCTTAGAAATTTATAACAAACACTCTCAAGGCTATAAATACAACAGTCATACCCACTACTTATCCTTACGACTCTGCCTCAGAATTCATGTATGGACAAATAGAAGTCTGACAGTCTACCAAGAGGCCATGTTAAATCACATCTATATGACTTCTAGATAATTTTTATCTGAAATGAATTTAAAAAGCAATTTCATGTCTTAAATGAATATCCTATTTATTGCTTCTCTTTAGACCCATTAAATTACCAAAGAAATAAATTAACTTTTTTATTAATATATATCCCAATTTATAATCTTTCATACGATTGTAGTTTGAGGACAAATATAATTGAACATGACATCTAAGTACTTAATAGTAAAAAAAAAAATGGCTGATGACAAATGAATTTTCTAAAATATCCCTGGTCACAAGAATTAAAATAAAAAAAGTAAATAACAGCTAAAAAAAAAAAAGTGTCAAGAATACCTGTAACTTACTAGTCTGAGTTCCTGACATGAAAAAACATCCAAGAAGAGTTCAAGGCTACACTTAGTGTTCAGTCAGTAATAGATGAAAGGGATGGAGATGTTTTTTATTGGTGGCCTATAACAGCTAAATCAGTAAAAATAGACAAATGAGGGGGGAAAGGATGCTATGTAGGAATGATTAGAAGCAAATGAAGAACAGATGATTTGATGGGTAGAGAAAAGATACTGTGGAAGTGATAGCAAAATATAAAGATATAATGGCAAAAATGACTCGTTTTAAACTGTAGGGAGACAGGATGAAAACATATATGTGCTTCCTTCTAAAATGTTCAAATAAGAAAAAAGCAATTTGAGTGAGGACATGCTAATAAACTGCCTCTAGTAAAAGTTGTGAATGGGAAGTTAGTGGCCAAAACAGAACTAAACAAGCTGAACAGTAGCCCAGCTATGAAAGCTTGACACATGTGCCAATGATAGTTACTATTTTTGCATATCATTTTATTTAACACAATAAAATAATGTATATAGACACTTACTTATATGGTTTCTGAGGCAAGATACTGATCCGAGTCTTATCAAGTATCTTTTTTAGCTTATTCCTTCCTCCAACAGTGTTAGCTTTACTTTTCTTGTTTACTTTTTCAAGTCCTATTACTTGTTCTACATCTACAGCAAGGTCTGGGATGGAGTAGCGACTGGCCTTTTTGATGTCTCCAATTTTAGGAAGGTGAGGCGCACCATTTCTTTTCTCTTCTGACAATCTTGTTAGAAGTTCTTTAAATACTAAAATATATAAAAAAAAACCCACAATATGCCAATTATGCAAAATTTGAAAAGTACCCAAGCCACTGTGAAATCTGGAAATAAATGAGAAGTACTAACATCAGCTATGAAAATGCAAGTCCTGTAGAAAACTTGTCCAGTAAGTATCACAAAAGTACTTAGTAGGCTGCTCTGTCAAGATAAGCACAGGAAGAGCAGCATATTCTAAGATCTACATGGGTGTAAGTATTCAGCAACCAAAGATAGTTTCTCTTATCAATAAAATAGTATTATGGACCTTTGATTTAAACCAAGTTATGCACAGAATGAATTCTGTATTTATGCATTTTACTATAAAAATTCTTATGTGAAGCGGGGCACCGGTGTAATCCTAGCTACTCAGGAGGCTGAGATCTGAGGATCACCATTCAAAGTCAGCCCAGGCAGGAAAGTCTGTGAGACTCTTGAGAGCTTGTTTGGAGGTTCTAGCAGGGGAGCACAGCTACTCGTACACCCTTGACCGAAGACCTGTCCTCCTCTAACGGGGATTGTTGTCCTCTTCCACCAAGTGTACAGCTTCAAGAGAGAGGCACATGGAGCAATGAGGGAGGAAGGGGATATCCGCTTCGCCAGCCAGATCAGCTGAGTCAACCCTGGCCATCAATGGGGTGACAGATGTCCCAACCAGATCACTCTCACATCCTGTGAGACTCTTATCTCCAATAAGCCATCAGAAAACTGGAAGTGGAACTGTGGCAGAGCGCTCACCTTGAGCTGAAGAACTAAGGGAAAGTGCCCCAAAAAATTCCTCACAGAAGCTACTTCTTTCATGATTAAGATCTAAGCATTAAAAACAAAAAATGACATACATGGTAATGGTAACTGAAGTAAAAAGAGCTGGGCGTATGACTCAAGTGGCAGAGTGCTTGCCTAGTAAAGGTAAGAGCCTGGGTTAAAATCCTACAGCACTACTTTCCTGTGAGAGAGAGAGAGAGAGAGAGAGAGAGAGAGAGAGAGAGAGA